TCTAGTTTTACCATTTAATTATTTTTCCAATTAGAACCACAGTTTTAATCAGCTAAGAAATATTAAATATTAAACAGTTAGTATAGTGTGTTACATTAAAATAATTCTTTATAAAGTGCCTAAGTATATTACAATCTCATTTGTCATTTTATTATACACATTCATTCATCCTAGACTTAATTTAAAATAGGTGTCAGGTGTCAGCTATAATACTGAGATCTGGATTCTGATCTAGATGCTAGAACTCTGCCATTTACTAAGCATATACAAGAAGTGGGAAGGAGGAGGGTAAGTTTAGGCCTGGTTTTAATAAGCTACAGCAATTAGATATTTTGAATACTCAGAACGATGTATTAGAATTATACAATTATTTGGTTTGTTCGGTTGCTTTTCAATACACTTGAGAACCAGCTCTTAATTAAGATACACACATCATCAAAGACTAGAAACTTAGATGGTGGTAAAAACAATTAGAATGATGATGTAGGCTTAGATTCCCCGTGGTTTTTGTACAGATCTGCCAAACAGCTTGGGGTATGGACACGTGGAATTTGCACAAGGTCCAGAACATCTGCAGTACTTGTGTGCCCTGCAGGGACATGAACTTTCCCGAAGCAGGTAGGATGCTCTGGGGCATGGCTCTATTTTTCCCAACCCAACTGGGTACTCTGACAGCAGGAGCTTTACCCCTCAAGGGAATTAATGCAGTTCTCCATTGCCTCTGGGTAAGGAGTTGTTCCTCTGCACAATTCCTTCTGGGGAGCAATAGCCTAGGGGTGCTGCAGTCCTCATCCTGCTCCCATGGCAAGACTGATAAATCACAGTGGAGCCTCTATCTGTGCAGCATATGCCAGTTATGTGTTAATTACTTGTTAGTTTAGAAAACATTCCTTCCGATTTAAAAGGTGTAAGAGGAAAGCACAGCATACAACAAAGTACATTTTATAAAATGGAGGAAAATAAATGATCCAACCAAGATTACCTCCAATTATAGGCATGCTTTACCCCTTTAAAACTATTACCTCCAATTATACGCATGCTTTACCCCTTTAAAACTAATAACTATGTAATATACCATCCTTAATACATCCTGAATGTATTGGTCTTGAGCTCAAAAGCAGTAAGAACAACCTGTCTCATGAAACTTTGCTGCAGAAAGGACCATCTCAATGTTACACGAAAAACCTTAATCAAAGCAACCAAACCTCTTGACTTGCTGCTGATTCCACAGCACTTTTTTATAGTGATATCACTTTTATCTATCATCATTTATTCAAAAAGGTAAATCAAAAGCATAAAATAGTCTCATCTGATTTTTTTGCCTGCAGGAGATAGCATTTTCAGTGGTTAAGCCGTGAAGTCTTACATCAGTCAGAGACAAACTAAGTGGCTGACCTGACTTTCTGTTCTCATTTTCCAAGTATAAAAGTTTCTTACGCACAGGTTACAATCCAGTATCAAAATCAGAATTTTTAAAAAGAAAATATTTGTCTTCAGCAGCTCAGCTGACACAAAGGAGTACTTGTATTTTAGACAGGTGCAACACTTTTTTTAATTGCTGATCAGAAAACCAATCCTCTATTAATCCTAACCAGGTAAATTGAATATATCACTAACGCCTGTTAGTATGAGATGCGTTTAGACCTATATTAATGATGATTAATAGCAAGGATTTTTACAGTTTGAATCCTACAAATAAATTCATAGAATCATCATAGAATTCTAATGTGTTTGTAAAGTTCTTACATTTTGACTTTTATCAATCTTATTTTCATTTAAAATAAGTTATTAGGAAATCACTTTGAACTCGACTCCAGTAACCAATACTTCAGCTGAAAAGGTTCACAAAAAGATGGGGTCAGCTCTGAAGATCTGCCCAGGGATACGTGGCACGTTAGTCAACACAGTGATGCAGGCCAGTTTCTGTGGCCAGTAGCAACAGAACAGTGCAGTTTGAATCACATTTTGCCACCTTCAGCTCTTTGGCCTCAGTGGTTAGGTTTTTATTAACACCTCTCCACCAAGATGCAGATTTTTTCTAACTTCTTAGGAGGGCTTCAGTTCATGCCTCTGGGCCCAGGGTGTTTTACTCACTCTACTGTAATGCTCTATGGAAAGACCTAACAGTGTCCCAGCTACATCTGCTTAAAATCACTTCAGTGCCTTTGGGGACATGTGTGTGTGTGTGTGTAAGCCCTTAAGGAAGCTGCAGAACTGCACATGCCCTGGGAGCCAACCAGATAATCATTAGAGAGTCGCAGAATGCAGGAAGAGCCCCTGCTACACGTGCCTTCCTTTGGCAAGCAGGAACAGAGGGGCTTGAAATGGTTTTCTCAGGGGAAATGGTGAACATAATGGAGATGCATAACTATCATAAGCCAGACCAAAGGTCTGTTTAACCTAGGAGCCTGTTTTCCAGTAACAGATGCTTAAGGAAAGTGGATTAAAAACAAGGCATATATAAAACAGATATTCCCCTTGGCATGGCCTCTCAGCTTCTGGGGAACAGTGCCTCAGAAACTTCCTGAGCTGGAATCACATTTTGTTTGTTGTGTTTAATAGTCACAGATAGGCTGAGCCATCACAGATTTGTCTCATCCGTTTATGTCTGGATTTACACTTTGTGGGTCCACAACATGTTCTGATAGCTGTTTGTAAGGATGGATTATATCCCCTCTGCAGAGAAAGACATGATGACTTTATAACCATCTCGTTTTTCCCTGCATGCCCCCTAACGCCGCGGAGTGGCGTGGAGCTGCGTCTCGTCTCGCTCCCCAGCCTATTCGCACTGCCTTCCTCGGACGCACACCCGTCTGGCGCAGTCGCGGGCTACAGCAGCGCCTCGGACCCCAGCCCAGCCCGGCCTGGCCCGGGCCGGAGCACCCCCGAGGCATCCCTGACACCTCTCCCCGCGCCCAGCCCGTTAGGATGGCGGCAGGTGCTGGCCCTGAGTGCAGCCCCCGGGGCCCCTCCCGCCGAGCCCCATGCCTGGGCACGCCGCCAGCCTGCCTTCCCCCCGGGCATGGCCTCTTGACAAGGTTGCCCTTACGCTCTCAGGCAGAGGTGGGTACTGGAGGTATCGTTCTCCCGTCGCGGGAGAGATGTTCCCTCAGGCGGGTTCGGCTGTGCTGCCCTGGGCAGGTGGGAGCTGTGGGGACCTGCGAACATAAACCTGACAGGAATTTCAGGCATATTGCATACTTTTTTACAATAAATTGCAAGTCAGGTCACAGAACCATAGGTCCAAGTTCCTCAACATTGGTTTGGGGTTTCTTTTTTTTCCCCCCAAAAAAAGTCACTTGATATCAAGACTCCTAGCTTTTATTTCTGTACCATGACTTGTTCATCTTTCACTGTGGTCATGTAAAACTCTGGTGTTGTCCTAGTTTGTTTTTTCTGAAGGTTTCAGATATGCACCAGCATTTCCATTCAGAGCTGTTCCTCACAGCTTGCTCCTTGGCTGTAAAATGTCACCATGGGCTGAAGCGTGGTATGTGAAGTCCAGAACAGCTTTTCTTCCATTAGTATAAAACGTTGGAGTTAAAGGAGTGAGTTAAAATATATGGGTTTACTTCTTTCCAAATCTTTTTATATGCCTATATAACATGAAAGCTGATTTAATTGAAAGAATAAAATGGGACTTGACGAGCCGGTGGTCCTGACTTTTATCTTGTCCCTTTATTGCATCCTACAAAACATGAAAATGGTTAAGATGTTAACATCTGAAAGGTGATACCCCTTTTGATACTGTATTTCTCTTAGGATAAATTTCTTAACGTGTTTTTATGGGCTTACATATATATTCCCAAGATCTATCAAGTTTCCTGTATGCATCAGGTGATGTATATTTGTCACAAGAGATGTGGTTCAATATTCTGAGTCTGTGCTACTTAGGCCAAGTTAAGTAGTTACTCCTCTCTTTTTTTCTTCCCTCTTGCTTAATCCTTCCCTCCAGCTGGAGATCAGTAAAGAGTGGTGCCCCTCAGGGATCAGTGTTGGAACTGGTCTTGTTCAACATCTTTGTCAGTGACATGGACAGTGGGATTGAGTGCATCCTCAGCAAGTTTGCTGATGACACCAAGCTGTGTGGTTCGGCTGATAACGCTGGAAGGAAGGAATGCCATCCAGAGAGACCCTGACACGCTTGTGAGGTGGGCTGATGCCAACCTTATGAAGTTTAACCATGCCAAGTGCAAGGTCCTACACCTGGGTCGGAGCAATCCCAGGCACAGCTACAGGTTGGGCAGAGAAGAGATTCAGAGCAGCCCTGCAGAGAAGGACTTGGGGATGTTGGTTGATGAGAAAATGAACATGAGCCAGCTTCAGTGTGTGCTCGCAGCCCAGAAAGCCAACCGTATCCTGGGCTGCATCAAAAGGAGTGTGACCAGCAGGCGAAGGAGGTGATCCTGCCCCTCTACTCTGCTCTTGCGAGACCTCACTTGGAGTATTGTGTACAGTTCTGGTGTCCTCAACATAAAAAGGACATGGAACTGTTGGAACAAGTCCAGAGGAGGGCCACAAGGATGATCAGGGGACTGGAGCACCTCCCATACGAGGATAGGCTGAGAAAGTTGGGGCTGTTCAGCCTGGAGAAGAGAAGGCTGCGTGGAGACCTCATAGCAGCCTTCCAGTGTCTGAAGGGGGCCTATAGGGATGCTGGAGAGGGACTCTTCATTAGGGACTGTAGTGACAGGACAAGAGGTAATGGGTTCAAACTTAAACAGGGGAAGTTTAGATTGGATATAAGGAAGAAATTCTTTCCTGTTAGAGTGGTGAGGCACTGGAATGGGTTGTCCAGGGAAGTTGTGAATGCTCCATCCCTGGCAGTGTTCAAGGCCAGGCTGGACAGAGCCTTGGGTGACATGATTTATTGTGAGGTGTCCCTGCCCATGGCAGGGGGCTGGAACTAGATGATCTTAAGGTCCTTTCCAACCCTAACTATTCTATAATTCTATGATTCTATGATCTGTTCATTCCTACTCTTGAACCAGAATCTGGTATGAGTCACCTGGAATGTAACCTACCTGCAGGAGCAGGAGGGAGCACTGGGTCTCTTCAGTTCCCAAGGTGCAAAAAGTTACAGCAGGTGAAAATGAGGCAAGGATAAGAGTGGCAGCCATGTGGTACTGGTGCTGCTGCCTGCTTTTGAGGCTCTGAGAGAGGCTGTGTAGTATGTGGAGAAACTACTAAATATAGTCATAGTTACAGGTACCTGTAGTGAAATCTGCTAATCAGATGTAATTAATCAAATCTGCTGTGGTTTTTAGTGGCCTTTTCTGTCTGTTGTCAGGAAGGTAAGTAGGATTGCATCTAGATTATTGATGAGATGTCTGAATTTTGGCCACTTCTTCAGGTGGTAGCCCTGTTTTCTCCCTGTCACTTTACTCCATGGAAATATAGACGTTGCTGAAGAAACTTGCTACTCAAGACATCTTTCTGCTCCCAATTAAGTCAAAGGGAAAACTTTCTCTGACTTTCAAGGGAGCAGGGTCTGGCCTTGCAGTGGAATTCAAACATAAAACATTGTGCTTCCCTGACAGCTGTGTGCCTTCTGTGAGGGGAGGCCAAAACTCAGCAACAAATACAGCTTGCTTTAGCTGCTTCAAAGTGAGATAGCTGTGAGGGGAAAATGTTTATAAATGCCAGTGCTGGCAAGGAGAGTGGGGAGACATTGGTCTGTTGTTTTGAAGGATGCACAGCTACTGTTTGCTGAGGAATTCTGCTTTTTGTTCTTCGGCTTTGTGTTGAGGAATTCTGCTTTTTGTTCTTGAGCTTCTGATGTGTATGCTATAGGAAAATGTATGTATCCATAAGACTGGCCACAAAATTGCTTTATTTTTGACCCAGAGAAGTTGCAGATCTTCTTTGTTGAATGTTCTTAATAATTTTTTGGCACATGGCTACTGTGTCATAGGCCCTTTTTGTCTAAGATTAATGGAAACTCAGCTGATTTTGTTTATAGGAGACTTCAGATATCTCTACTGGATTTTATAGTGGATATGGTCACCAAACTGGTTTAAAGATTGTTTTTTTACATTAAGTTTTATTTTTCAGGTTTTTTGAACACCTGAAGTGATCAGTCCAGATGTATTTTCTTATGAGCTATCTGCGACTACAGATTATGGGGGTGGGAGGGTTAGAGTTTCTAACTTTAAGTCTTTTGTTAAAATGTTGAAAAGTGTGTTATTAAGCTCATTATGAAAGCATAAGTAGTGTATCTTAATATAGAATATTTTGCTTCAGATTTTAAAGAAATACCATTAATATTTGCATCTTGTCCATTGTGTGGCCAGGCAGACCTGCTTAGAACTAATAATGGCATTTTAGCATTGTCTTTTGGTTTAACAGTGTATACTGTATAGCTGACATATCCACTTTGTGAAAAGTTACTCTGACAGAAGTACCCAACTTGAGATATCTATCATGGAACACGTGTGTGTTCCCTCTTGTGTCCCACATGAAAAAAAGAAATCTTCTCAACACCTGTTTCCAAAACCTCTTTCCCATGTTGAATGTTTAACTATAAACATTGTATTTCAGGCTTTTAAATTATTGCACGCTTTTTTCCATGTTAAAGTACACAGCTGTGTATAAGATGCATGTTTAACTACTTACTGTCTTACCTAAAATAATAATATGCGGTTTTTTGCATTCACTGATTCCTGAAGTTTATGCTAGTTTCTCTGTGTTTGTTTATATAATTAAAACTTTTTAATTAAGAAAAGTATCCCCATAGCTACCTAAGAACTACCTAAGGATATTTTGGGAAGAAAAGAAAAAAAAAAACACCCACCTGCGAAGCTCAGCACACATTAGATAGTAGTACACATAATTTCTCTTCTATACAGTTGTCACATACAGGAAGCCATTCAAGATTAGAAATTCTGGTTAGAAATACCATTTAAATTTTGTTTAAATTGTGTTTTACTGTCACTACGTAAAACCAGTATGAGCGTATACTCTCACAATTACACAATGCCAGCCTTGTAATCTCCTGTAAGTTGTATTTACTGCTTGTAGTCTGTAGAAAAGTGTGTATATGCTCACACAAATGTATGTATAGCTTATTTCTGAAGGTTTTAAACAAAGATTTTGTGTTAATAGCAATGCACAGCAGAAATCCTTATAGAACATCTAATGCTGTTAAGAATAAAATCACACATTAATGTTTCCAATATGCTTTGTAGGATGATGTCTTATCATGTGACTCCTGGGGTGGTATTTCACTTCTTTACTACCATTATACTTGTCTTACAAAGTATCTTCTTACATGATGATGAATCATCTCACAGACAATGTCTTTTTAAGTACATGGAAATGTTAATAATGTAATGCTAACTTTGTTGTGCTAAACTAATTAAAAATTTAAAAATATAAATTGCAAAAAGGAGAACTTTTATATGTAAAAATTGTGCTAAATGTACCATGCCTGCTGGTTAGAGAAACTTACTCCAGAGACACCTGTGATGGACAAGGTAAGAAAAGAAAGACACAGCTTAATGCTGAAAGTTTTTAAAAGCTTTAATTTTACAAAGACCATAAGAAGAGATCAGTTACTGGTCTGGGAAAGTACAGTGATGGGTGAAGGAGATTTGGTAATTGCCACTACAGCTACCATTTATTTGTAAATGTTTCCCCCCTTATTGTGCATTAATAAGTTATTTAAATGAGTTTTTCATACAAGAGTATGCAGCAATACATTTTATTTTAAATAAAAATGCTTCTGCTTTAGGTTTTGGTTAATTTATGCCTAATACCTAGATCATATAGAATGAATTGTTTTATTTGTTTATTGTGATTTGCAGGGATATTACTCCATGACAAGGTTACACTGACCTATCATTTCATGCATCAGCAGTTCTTCTATTGCACTGATTTGATCGAGCCTAGTGGATAAAAGAGGAACAATCCACCCAATGGACCAAATTAGAATTATAATAAAAACTGCACCTTCTGAAGGACAAAGTAGGTTAAGTATGGTACTTACTGCCCTTGGCATAATTTTTGTGATGTGTCAAATTTGAACCTTTTTTTTCACGTTTGTTCAACCTTTTACATTCAGATTTTGAATTTTGATTTTATGTAGTTATGTAAGTGATGCTGCAGCTGCAGTTGAGGAAGAAGGTAGGGTTTTGTAGCTACTGGAAGCTTTTTTAGGTTAAGTACCTGTGAAAGTGCAATAAATCTTTTTGATTTTGAATATGCAGTAATTTCTGGATGTCTCTTTGCTGTACAAATCCAGATACTGCTGTTGCTCCTCATGTTGAAGAACTTCAAAATTTTGCAGTTATAAAATGGCAAACAACCCTTCCTAGATACTGGTTTGGGCTCTTCTAGACTGCAAAAGGGACTGTGTGGCCTACGGCTTTACTGTTTCTAGAGGTATCTTGTTCCCACTTGCTCTCCTTGAATGCCAGTGATGGCTCAGTGAATCAGGAGGGGCTGTATGTTGTCTGCTCTCTCCCAGGTAAGTTTGGAACTGCTCTTATCCAAGGGATGGGCCAAGGTACCTGTCTTACACAAGGTGTGACATAACTTGTAGGTTCAGACATAGTTTTAGTAAGATGTAGCAAAGAAGATCTTCAAATGGCTCTAAAGTAAGATATGTGGAAATTACAACATAGAAGCTTCTTTTTGTTTGTTTCTCTAATGAAAAAGAGTATATGTTAGACAAAATTTATTCATTTGTACTATATTGCTCTGTTGTGATGATCCACTAGTACTGCATAATCAGTCTGTTTCATGAAGGTTTGCCAACAGTAGAAAATCAAGGCCATCAGAAATGGTAATTACAAATTCTAGTACCTCATAAATGCTAAAGAGCATAATAGTAGCATTGATGTGGTTTGCTTACTAAGGAATCCACAAAGAAATTCATGTAAGTACACATTTAAGTTTCAGCGATCTCTGTAGTGCATAAGAACAGACTGCAGTTGTTTATGTAATCGGGTTGGGCATGGATACATATGTCAGTGCTTTGCTGGATAGATCACTTCTAATAGAGATGGAGATCCCAGTGAAGAACTCCACCTCAAGAGCTTATAGAAAACACTGGAGAGATCCTGGTTGGATCTCTTTGTTTTGTTTGTTGGTTTGGGTTTTTTTCTTTGTTTGAATTAGACATGAAGTCAATATGAATTAATTGCTTCAGTAACTGAAGCAATTGCAACTGAACAGTTGCATATCTGTTTCGACAAATTCAGGAAGTCTACAGTAAAAAGAAACAAAACCCACAGTTGTGGGTTTTTTTTTTGGGGGGGGGTAATTTATTTTCTACTAAATAGAATTGTTTAAAAAAGGACAGACCAAGAAGGTGAGCATGAACTTACTCCAGAACTTAAATATACACCACCTTCATGGCAATAGATTAATTTCTTATTCAGATATTCTGTTGGATGATATTTTAAATTCCATTGCTGTGAATATTCATGCAGTAGATCAAATGATGCTAAAGTTTCAGTTTGTATCTTTGTGTGGGTTTGTGTTAAAGTTGCTGAAAATTTTCACTGCCTCAGGCATTTAATAATACCATGAATAGAAAATGAAAGCTTTATAAAGTTACTGTTTCTATTTTGAGAACAAACAGATAGACAAATGAAAAATTATGTATTTGAGGGCCAAAAGATAGATTATTTAACAAATACTAACTTTTAAAACAATACTTACTTTAAAATACTTGTTACTTACTGAGGGAAATCTAAGTAAGCATGGGGTTGAGCAATTCAGTAGTTGCACACTTGAAGTGGAACTTTGTAAAAGATCACCACACAGCTTCAACTTAAAAGAATCTTAGGGTTGAGGATCAAAATTTGCATCAGGTGAACAAAAATGTGAAACAGCTGTTGTGTGTTTACTTTTCAGAAGTAGCTATTGAATCAATTCAAGCAGTACCATGGTAAGATGTCTTTGGTTTTGCAGCTGATCTATTACATGCTTTTTTAAGCCATTAGAGCTCAATAATGCAATCATTTGTCATCCAATTAATTTTGAAAGCCTGGAAATATATGGGTGAACTCTGTAACTTGTGGTTCACTTAGCATCATTGTTATTTAGATCAAATTAAAGAAATGGTAGTAGTATTGGGTAAGCTACATTATAGGGACTTACCATCTTCATGTTCTGTGGCTTCTCCGTTAATTTTTAAAATACTTTTATTACTATAGATAAACATGGATAAATGTAGCATGTTTTTGTTTTGCATAGAATATGTAAATTCATTATAATTGGAAACAATACTTGATAAAATGACTGTGAAAATGTATCTCCAGGGCTGATTCTGTGCCCCAGCATCCACAGAAATTGTATCGAGGGCATTAATGTGTGTGGGCTTTTGCTCTATATTTACAGCTTTGAAAACCTTAAGCACTGAAGCTAAAATTCTTGTAAGGCTAAGAGAAAGCTGTGGACATATCAAAATAAACCAGATCCTGTGTTTTTTTTTAATCTTTCTAATCTGGAAGTCATGAAACATGTTACTTCAGTGCACCTGAATCATGCTTTATGACAAGATTCTGCTGCTCCCTAGGAGAGGCAGTGTAAAGGCAATTTCAATATGGAAAGTGTACTTTCCATACCTATTTTCTAGAATCCTTGCACTGAACTTGCACACATAGCAAACACTGACTCAGATTTTTGTATTCTTGGATAGAGGTGTATGAATTTAGGAATAATACACGTCTTGAGAGTTTTGGAGGTCATCTGATCCAATGCCCTACTCAGAATGTGGCCAAGTTACATTGCTTCAGGGCTTCATTCAGTGAAGAAACAAGTATTTCCAAGAATGGAGATGGAGATTTCACAGCCTCACTGAGCAGCATGTTACAGTGTTCGACTACTCTCGTAATGAAGCTGTGTGGGTTTTTTCCTGATATTTAATCTAAAAATCTTACCAATTGAAATATGTATCTTTTTGCTTCAGATAATCTGAAATCTTGGTATTTGTCACCTTCTTGGCTCATGACTCTCTTAGAAATCATATTTTTCATTTATAGGTTGTGTTTGTAAACTCATCTGGAGTTGTCATACTGGCAACTTACTTGGGCTAATGTAAACTTGGGATAATACTAAGGACTTCAAGGGTGTATGTCTAGATTTATTCTGATATAACGCTAATCAGAAATGTGATTTTCTGCTATGTCTTATAGGGAAGCCATTTCTTGCTGCAAAGAGAGTGAGTCATATAATTCTGTAGAGGTAGAATAAAAAGAAGTCATTCTTTATCATTCAGCTCAGGTACAGGAAGATTATTTAACTGTGATGTGTATACTAGGTTAACACATTCCAGTATTAATTGGTAATTTCATTACCTCTGTATTTTTGCTGAAGTTTAACATTGTTTACTCAGTTAATGAACTTCTGTATCCCTTAAGACTACAGACCTAGCATTGCTTATTACATTTTTATGGCTCTCCAGGTGGGTTATCTTAAAAAGAATACTCACTTTAGACAAGCATGCTCTGGACGTAAAAAAAAACCAAACAGAGTTTGTCTGTAGTGTAATGTGAAACAATATGTGCAGTTTACTAAGGTTGTGACATGTAATGTCTACTGTCTTTCTGTTTGTGAGCCTTGCTACCTTGAACTGCTTAAGGATTCCCCAGCATTTATTTGCTCATGTGTCACATTAAACATGCAACAAAGCAGCACCAGGAACATTTACAGGAGAAGGTGTACCTCCAGCCCTGCTGCTTTCTCCTATATGGAGGCAAAAGTAGGAGCAGCTCCCAGCTCTGCTTGGACTGCATGTGGCACCGAAAGAGACTGATAACTACTCAGGCAGTACCTCTTCTGGAAATAAATGGTGATTCAAATGTTTGTATGTTCCATTTGGAAGCAGTATACACTTCTGGAGTGAGCATCATTATGCAGAAACTCTGAGGGTGGTTATTAAGCTCTATTTAAAGAAACTGGTTTCCACCATGTCACATACACTTGGACTTTTAAAATTGTTGGTTTGGATTTGAAAGATGAAGGGAACCCTCGTAGAACACTAGAATTTTGCAGCTGTAGCATGAACTTCCACATTGGGTCTTCTGTGTCTGTCTGAAGTATTTTCACCACCCTTATAATCAACAACATAAATATTGTTTGATTTGATTATGCCAATGGTGATTTGGTGTCTGTGGAAGCTACTGGTAATACTGATCTACTTATAAGATTTCCAGTGACAAATAAGGTGGTGGCTCTTTAACCTTAACCGCACCTCCTCCCTTCACCTGTTCACGGCCAAGGTCTTGAACTGCAGGTTAGTAAGATGTGCCGAGAACTACATATTTTCTATTGCTGCTTCTCCTTCTGATACACGGTAGGTATCCCAGAGAGACTGGTGGCAAAGATGAGGCAGCTGCAGTCAACATGATCTTCCATTGCCGAGGGTGAATACAGAGGGGAGAAAAACAGCATCTCAGGCAGCCAGAGAAAACCAGGTTTGAGCTGTGTGGTTTTGTCTGCTGGACATGACTTAAAAATAAACGTACTCTAAAATCTGGAGCTACTGTAAAACCATAATTTTTTTGTCAGTGAACACAACTTTGATCTAGGTTCCCTTGAAATTAATCACAGGGAAGAAATTCATTATTCATCATACTCCTTGAAAAGCATGGATAGTAGAAGGCTTGTTAAAATGTAAGATAAAATTTCTTTTTCTTAGTGGAAAGCAGGAAGGGAGAAAGGTAGCAAGCTAAATGGCTGTTCCTCTCTGATACTTTATAAATGAGGGATTTTCAGCTTCAAGAGTGAGTTACTAGTGCATCATATTATGTCTAAAACTATTTTTTTTTGTTTTTCACATGTGTTAATCTTTCAGCCAGTCTGGTTTTCTGTAGAGAATTAATACTTGCTATAGGATTATCACAGGATATATTATTTTGCTGTGGCTGTAAAACTTCATTAGAGATCAGTTTGGTGAATAATGATGTAATTTTTAGTATTTCTCACATTTATATGTTTGGTTTATCCCCTGCCCCCCAGAAAATCTCTTTCAATATATGTGGGATGCTTCATTCAAAAGTGTGAAAAATAAGAATGTATCCAGCATTCTTCCCCAGATGATATGAGAAAATACAGGTACAATTTGTACTTACTTAAAGTTACCTACCTGTGATTTGTGGGGGTGACTGTTCAGCTGAGACACTTATGATGTGTTGGTTTATAGTAAATCATATAAGCAACTTATAAGCTCAGTTGTGCAAAGAATTTGGTTTTCCCTTAGGTCTGAGTATGCTGTCTTGGCATCTGTTTTTGTCTGGCTTAATGGAGAAAGTCTCACCCATGTGCTGAGTGCTCTTCTCAGTAAAGCGCTGGCCTGTAAGCATACTACAAGCAATGGGAACCATGTTTTTTAGTTCTGTCGTCTCCTGAATATAGCTCTGTAGAAAACAGTCTGCTATGTTGTAGTAACAAAAAGAAAACATTTGTCTTTTACCAGTGTGTTAACAGAGTTCAGTAAGTACGTGGTAGATACCCTCTAGCTAGATTGATGTGGACCTAACACCTGATGGCAGCCACACTACAGAATAATTGCCCCAGAACAAAGTTTGTATTTTCTGAAGCTGAGGAGTCTGAAATTCTGAGTGCATCAATAGCTTTATGTGGCAGATAAGATTTGGTCAGTGTAAAGAAATTCTACAGAGGAGTTCAGGGATTTTTTCCTTTTTGGCATTAATGATAAATAAATAGCCACCATGGAGAGGGGTTGGATGCCCAAAGAGGGATGCTTATAATTCAACACACTGAGAAGCCTCCTAAGCCAGTAAATTGGAAATACTTTGGTTTGTTTTTCTCACCTGAAATGCCATCTTCTGTGAAGGGTTTGCCTCCAAAATATTCAAAGGAATTCTTGAGAAATTGCTTTTTTAAAAAATTGACAGCAGATGCTCCCTTTCATTGCAATTTCCGAGGAACAAGGGGCCTAATTTTCTCGAAAACAAGCCTCTTGGGAAACTTTAGTGTGTGACTTTTCATTGAGAACAGGGATAGAGAACAGCCACGTTCAAAGGGAGAAATTTGGCTTAATGCAGTTTACTGAAGACAAAACACTTTATTGTGAAGAAAAAAAAAAAAGACAAATTTAATTCTTATAAAGAAAAAAAATAAATGCAAACTTTTCCTCAAGATTGCAGTGAATTTAAACTATCCTAGAAGTCTGAAACGACATACATGAGGAACAAAGAAATTCTTAACTACATACTTAGTTTCTTGTGATCTGTTTTCAAGTTAGCACTTTTTTCTGACTTGACCAGTGCATTTTTATATGTGCTGAAAAAGAATTGTATGATTGAAAAAAAAATATTTGTGAACAATATGGTTTTTTTCATCTAAAGATGTCAATTCTGTCCTTTAATCTGTATAACTCATTGTTACACTGAAACTGCAACTTATATTTTCTTAAATATGTTCTGGTCTGCATCAGTTCTTTGACTTTTTCATATAATACAAAATTTTACATTTTCTTTATTTTTTCCCTTGCTGCTGTATTCTTTGAAGCCTACTCTTACAAAAATTTCTTTGCAACAGAATCTTATGGGACAAAGCTGGTAAAATTAATATCACTAAGCTGAGTCCAGTGATGTAATTGTGTTTGTAGCCTAAAAGTGAGTTTAAAGTCTTAAAACTTAATAATTCATGAACATATTCTTTCAGCTTTTTGTCCTGTGTGTCATTGCATTTGAATCAGGTGGGCATAAAGACAAGAGGGGTTTAGACAACTAGCATTTGGAATTACTAGCGGAAGATACCGTCTCAGTCCCATTGCATTCTTGTAGTAAGAGATTGTTATTTTTTTCTTTGGGTATAATATTAATATCTTTAAAGTTCACAAACTCTTCTTAACTAAAATTTGTAAAGGAATCTTTTTTATGTAATAGTTAAATAGAAAATACTTGAAACTATGTAAGAAAAGACCTTATCAGTGGTCACTGTTAATGAATAAATGTTTAGGAGTTAGTCTGGACATATAAAATGCTCTGCAAGGGTTATTGTTGTCATTAGTACATTATTTTACCTTTTTAATTCAGATGAAGAAGAACGTAGGAACAATAAGAAAGCATTCAGTAATGAGCTTGGTGCTGAAGTTGAGCCAAATACTACTGAAAATCAAAATAATGATGATCAAATATCAAATGATGATGAAGAAAGCAGCAATGAACAAAGTGCAAATGAAAAGGGAAAACTTACTGCACCAATAGAACCGCTGGGAGAAGTAAATTTTCCTTTACTAAAATAACAAATCAACAGCATAACTAAGTGTTATGGACTCAGATAAGCTGGGGCACCAATTCTGCAGTGAATACTTCTTGATTCTTGTCAAGATTTGTCAGCAGTATTAATTACCCTTTCATTCCCACACCTAGGTTTGTGTGTGAGTTTGGTTTACAGTGAAAAATACTTGTTGGTGAAAATTTTGCTTTTTGTCAGTTATTGCCATAATTTCTCAGCAGCAACTCCTGATGATAAATATGTTTATATACTTCGCCATGTTTGCCAAGCAGTGCAGCTTTGGAGGCCTCAGACACATGGTTGTTTGGGTTGGAATCGTTCCTCTCTTTCCTGCCTGCTTGCCATCAGTTAATTGCACAGCTGGCTTTAGAATTACATTCTTGGATCTCTGTTTCTGTTGTTGCCTCTAAGTGACCTCAGCTGATTTCTCCTGGCTCCCTGTTCATTAGATGGTCCTTTATGCACTGTTCTTCAGGATGGGGAAGGGAATTTTTGTTTCCACTCATCTAATTGTTTTTTGTAGAAAATGCAATAGAGAAGAAAGGTTGATAAGGGGAGGCAGGATGGCAAAACACAAAATACTGGGCACTTTGCTATAACAAGAACAGTGAATTTTGTATGATACTGTGAAAAATTACAATTGCACAGCCACTATCTGACTGAATCTTGGGTGTTTCATTAGGGCAGTCTTCACCTCAAAATTATTCTTCCATGTGAAATTTTTGTATTCGATTGGTTTGGTTCACTTTATGGTACATGTGTGCATGTGGCATGTAGAATAATATTTTCATGTCTTATTATTTTTGGGTTTCTTTCAGGTTTAACATGGTGTCTGAATTTTCTGTGTTTGTTGTTCTTATTTATGATGTAATGATGATATCAAGTAAGATCTTTATTATTTTATTACTCTTGAAAGTCATTTGTCTCCTTTCCACCTTAATTCTGGAATTAAAGTTCTACCTGAAATTATTAATACCATTTGCTGAGATTTTTTAATTTTTTTTTTCCTTTTTTTATTGCAGACACTCAAAATTATGATACTACATAAAGGACAGGTTACAACAGTAAGCTTGATATTCTTCAGATTATGAATATCCATTTCTGGTGTGTGTATATATAAAGCTTTTCATTAATATAATTGCACTTTCATGAATGATAAGTGGCAGACATATTTCTGGGTTTTTTTTTGTTTATTTTGTCATCATATACATGTTCGTAATATGTTATGTTGTCAGCTTGCAGTTCTGACATAAGAGCCAAAAAATACTGATTCCACTTCTTGAAGAAAATATTTTGATGGGCAAGTCTAAGAATCTCAACTACAATATTTATTGTAGAGGCATTCTTGCCTTTCACAGATAAACACTGAGAATTATTGTACCAATAGGAACCTGACTTTGTGTTTAAAGAGCCAGCAATTGAGAAAATACTTATACGTGGATTATTAACTTCTTAAATAGGCTGCCTTGATCTATAAAATATCAGAGTAAACAGTCTCTAGTGGTTAATGTTCAGTTGGAAGTATTTATTCTACAGTGTATTAAGGAAGGAAGAAGACAGTCAGAAATCTTCTTACAAATTTAGAAAACAGTCTTCTAAACTCAGAACAAGTAGATTGGATCAAAGGAGCTTCCATCATTGGTCTCAATATAGTATCAACTACCCTAGTCCAAAGCATCAATAAAGACCTTAAGCTAATCTGGGTCACCCCGCACTTAAGTGGAAGAAGAATGCTCAAGAAAAC